TATTCGTTATACATTCCGCATAATTCGTTATAGCGTTAACGAAGATTCTTATAACGAAGTCCTGATCGGCTGGATCGACAACTTCGTTATATCGAGGTGTGACTGTACTTATATTTAAAAATAGTATAGTTTATTATAATTAATTCTGCAGTTTTATTAAAAAAAAATTTAATGCTTTATATCTGTAATATCTATAATACTAATAAATAGAATAATAGTATAACATTTTATTTACAATTACTTAGAATATGAAAATAATTGATTCAGATAAACTTTGTATCTATTTATTTTAAATAAGATGTTTTAAAACTTTAGTTTATTATTAAACTTGATTATTAATTAATAAAATATATATTTGATATTATTTAAGTTAATTTTTAATACTTATTTAAGCTGTAAAATTAATTATAAAACTAGAATAATTATGATTATACATGCTTACTTTTTCTTAATTTTTAGAAGTTTTATATTAAAATATTAATAAAAAAAACTTTTAAAGAATGGTATTCTGATACTTGTAATATTATTTTAATTTAAAAATAACATGTTAAATCCTTAGTTATATTAATTATTTTATATTATAATTATTATAAAAATTATTTATTGCTATTATAGAAGTACAGAACAAAAGCTTTAAAATATATATTTAGATTTTCATGTTAATTAATATCAGATTTTACCACTAATTAATTTTTTTTAAAATTCTCAAATATATTATGCATTATAATAAATTAAAAATTTTAAAATGAAAAAAAATGATTTTAGTATTTGGTTAGTTTAATTTATTTTAATTACTATTATTTACTTTAACTAATATATTTTTATTTTAATTCAAATGATATAAATGTTAAAATGCTTAAACTTTTGTCAATCATCAATATAAGATGAATTTCATAATTATTAAATTGCTTACTTAAATATAAAAAAATTTGTATAATTAGTAGTTATTAAACTTCAAAATGAATTTATATTTTTTAGTATATATTAATAATTCTTATTTGAAATTAAAATAAAATATATAAAAGCAAATTCTGCAATTAATTTTAATGCATTAATTTTTAAAATGATTAATTATATGATGTAACAAAAGAGGTAATTTAAATAATATTTATTGATCAACATAAAAAATTTATTCTTATCTTCTATTAAAGTAAAAATAAAAATTATTTAAAATAATTTTTTACTATTTAAAATTAGCAACAAAATTTCAAAATTTTAAAAATTCAATAACAAAATAATTTAGTTAATTAGTATGAAATTAAATAATAATAATTTATTTTTAAAATTTTTTTTAAAATATTTATTGATTTTTTCTCTCATTATTAAGAGAATTTTTAACCTTGTAATTTTTAATTCTAACTTATTGATATGTTATTTAAGCTGATTATAATATACATAAAATTTCATTTTGATCTTTTAATTATAAGATGATTTCTTATTCTTTAACTTATAATAAGAGCTTTTTCATTTATAAATATATGTTGTAAATTCCTTCTTTCTCTTTTTTAAATCAATTAATTATTATTAAATAATTAATTAGTAATTATATTATTATTGTTTAAAGTAAATATTAAAATATAATTTCTTTCTTCTAAAATAATATTTGCTAATTCTTATAATTAAGATTTAATAGATTTAATATAATTAGTTCTAAGAAAAGGTATTTGAATAAATAATTTACAAATACTACATGTGATGATTTAGTAACTTTAAAATTTTAATAATGACTTCTGGTACAGTTAAAGAAGAAAAAAAAATAAAATAATTTTAAGATAATAAGAGATTTATTTTTATTGAAATTTTTTTTTTTTTTAATAATAAATTTCATAATAATATATCAGGATTAATGATTTGTTTAGATATTTACAAGCAGATTATTTATAAAAAAATATTATAAAATTACAATCATAAATAAATATAAAGTTAGATTAAATTAAAGAAACTTTAAGAAAAAAATAAAAATAAAATCTTTTTTATTTTGCATTAATTTATAAATATCAAATATATAAGAAAATAATGCAATAGATTTGATTAAAATGATGCTGATATATGAGTTTTTTTATAATATATTTTAGTATGTAAAATCATTTATGATATATTTATTTAATAAGAAGTTAACTATAATCATATAAGTATATATAACTAATTTTTAAAAATAAAATAATTATTTAATTTTTTTATTTTTTTTATATTGTATAATAATATTAAAAAAAATAAATCATTACATTATTTTTTTTCAAAAAAATTAAAAAGTAAAGGAATATTAAAATTAAGATAAATGTTGATTTTGAAATCTTTTTTCTTCACTTATCATATTATGATATAAAAATTATAATTCATGATAATTTAATAAATGTTCAATAACTTGAGTTCCAGCAGAATTCAACCATTTTCTTCTCACAACTACATCCATGTGAGCTGCACCTTCTATATGTACTAAAACTTTTCTCCAGCTCATATCTTTATGCCAATTTCTGGCAATCTTTTCTTCAATCAATAAATGATTTTGTGATGGAGAAGGAATATCCTTAGGTTCATAAATCCTATCATGAATAATAGGAGATATACCAGAGAATGATCTATCAAGGTAATCTTTTGTGATATTTGGAGGATAAAAAGTTATTAAGAGGTGTTTCAAATTCTCAATTAAACCTAAACTACGAATACCATTAGTTAAATCATCATCAAGAAAGTAAAGTGAAGAAGTTTTTATTGAAACCAAAAAATCATTAACAACATTTGCATATAATGTACGTTTATGAAATTTTTTGATTGTAATATGAGATGATGAAGATGGATGTGACAAGGATAAGATCAAAGGTTCTACATCTTTTGCATGTTTGTTTAAGATTAACTCTTTACCAGTTCTACCAAATGAACCTAATTTCATTGGGAATTTGATATACCAGGCCAATTCAGTTGAACCGAGTAAAGGACTTGCAATTGTGATAAAATGAATTGGTTTAACCTTTTTAAAGAAAGTTCCATTTGTGACATCATGCAAGTAACCTGCCACAAATATGTTAAACAATCCTCCTAAAGAATGACCAATCATGGAAATCTTTGAAATTATGGGTTTATCAAATTGTTTCCATCCAATATATCTTAATACATGTTCAGCTAACCTTTTACTACATTTCTCTATACCTTCTTCAGTGAGTAAGTGATTTATATCTGAAGTGTAAACAATTATTCTATTATTATTATCTGAATACCTCTCTTGAATAGCTTCTTTTAAATATAATTTATCTAAAACTGTCCCATGCAATCCATGTGTTAACATAATGAGATGAAGGTCATTATTGGAACCTGATGATGAAAGTCTACGTAATCCAAGAATATCAACTGTTTTATAGGTTTCATATGTAATCAAAGAAGAATACATCTCTTTGCTGATATCTTTTGAGATGAAGGCATATAAACTGACTTCATATTTAACTTTAATGTTAGAAAATAATGCTTCACTAATGATTTCTACAGTCCATTCTTCAACATTGTTTGAAGGAATTGTTAAATTTGATTTCATCGATTTACCACAACTAATCATTGGTTTGCATTGAGGGATGTAGCAAAGGATTTGTGGTTGCTTAATCTGATTTGTCGAGATAACGGATGCCGAAATGTTATAAGGTCCCGATAAAACTGCTACACGATAAATCGACGGGGTCTTATTAGTGATTTTTATAACAAGGTTCTGGATGGGAGGCGGAAACGAATTCACATTTTGTGATTGATCAAATTTTATTCTATATCTTGATATCTCTCCGATTGAAAGTTCCGAGGAGGATCGCCAAAGTTCTTGGGACATTTATTATAATGATTATTTTATGTTTGTAGTAAAAGAAAAAGAAAAGAAAGAAACAAAAAAAAAAAAAAACATTTGCAGTTTTATAAATTACAAATTGATAGTAATGATCAACCCTTTTAGAATAACAATTTGAATGACGATAATGATGATTCACCTAACCAAAAAGGCAATGAATTATTATTTTAAAATAAAATACACGTGAGATTTCAATCCTTTTATTTAATACAAAAATTTATATATTTTTTTTTTTTTTACAAAAGATTAATCGTTATAAGATAAAATATGAATTAACCTTAAACAGTATCTCGGTTTGGCTGGAATAACTGAAAAAGGTGTATTTTATGATATTTTGGGAAAATAAATTTTTTTCTAAATAATGTTATTTTTAAAGTTGTATGGAAAGTCTTTTTTTTATGAATGATTTTTAAATGTTTTGAGTGAATGAATGAGTGAATGTATGAATGATGAACATTTTTTCTGCCACCTCTGGATGGTGTTATAAAACTGGAGGTGTAGGTGGTGGTGTTAAATTCAATTGACCTCTAATTTGATCAACCATTCGCGTTGGGCTTTTTTTCGAATTATTAAAATTACTTGATGCATCATTTAAAATCCTATCATTATTATTACCGTCGTTATTGAAAAAATTACTTGCCATATAGGAACCGTTATTAGAACCCATATTACCGAATTTTCTTTGTGCCGCAGTTTTCTGAACTTCATCTGTTTGTTTATACATATAATGAATTAGAGTCCTATAAATCTTTGATGATTCAATATTATAAAAAGAAATAACTAACCTAAAGCGGCCATCATTGCATCATATTCATCAATTCTCGATGGTATTCTACTCTCATCATTTTCATCATTAGGTAATCGACTCCACCTTGCATCTATAAATTCATCGTCACTTAAATCAATATCTTGATTCGAAGCGTCCATTTGAGATCTTAACATTTCTAATTCATTGGTTAGAGAAGTAATCACATGGGAATTTCTCGGACTTGAATCTCTTATATCATCTTCAATTTCACGATAACTGTCAACAGCATGTTCCATTTGATCTAACAATATTGTAATTTTATTTTCAGATTCTTTCCATTTTTGTTCTAAATCTGAGTTTTCCTTTTCAAGCCTTTCATTCATTGCACGATAATCGGCAACTTGTCGCTCTAACATGACACGTTGTTCTTCCCAATTCTTATTGCTATAACCTTTTGGTCCTGATTTCATTGATTGTTCAAGTTCTTTATTAACTTTAGTATATAACGCAAGTGTATCATCCAATTCACTTTGAGTATTCCGCAAAGCTTCCTCAGAATCTTTTAATAAATCTCGAAGTTCCTGATCGATCGAACGTAAAGACTCGTTTTCTTTACGTAATGTTTCGTATTCTTTACGTAAAACATCATATTCCGCTTCCACCATATTTTTTCCATCATAAGCACGGTCAAGCTGAGATCGTAAATCATCAATTTTTCCATGTAATTGCACCTTTTCTTTTTCAAATTCTAACCTCTGTTCTTCAAGTTTTTGACTGGTCAATTCTTGCAATTTGGAATCAGACAATCCTTTACTTACTGAGAAATTATTTTCTGCTTCAGATAATTGTTCTTCTAATGTTTCGTTACGTGCTTGAGCTATTGATAATTTTTCATTCAAGATTTCAGATTCTTTTTTATTTTTTGTTAATTCTTCTTTCATCCTTCTCAACATTTTTTCCGTACCTTTAACATAATGTACGGCAGTTTGATAATCATTCTCAACTTCTTGCAATCTTTTTTTCGTTTCAATAAGTTCCCTTTGATTTACATTAGGCCTTGTCTCCAATTTCAGATTATCTTCATTATCAGATGTTAAACTTTTTGATCCGATACTAGCACGTTCCAACTCTTCAAGAATTTTGGCTTTCTCTTCAGATTCCTTGGCTTTTCGTGCAGCTTTATTATGCTTGCTTTCAAGTTCTTCACATTTTGATTCCAATACTTTAAACCGATTCGATGAAAATACTCCTTTATTACCGTTACTACCATCGTCTAAAATTCCTTTCTCTGTCAGTACATCCCTCATCATGCCTACTTTTACTTCAGCGTCTTCGAGAGCTCTTGTTCTTTCTATCAATGACCTTTCCTTTTCACGTAATTTATCTTTTGTTTTCGCGTTTTCATCTGAAGCTTCAATCAATCTACGTTGTAAAATTGCAGCATCAGATCTTGCCTTTATGGCAGCACTTTCCATTTGTGAGATCTTTATCATAGCATCCGCGAGTGAACTGGAAGTTTCTTGAGTTGCTTTCTGTGAATCCACATGGGCAGATTTTAAGCTTAAAATCTCCTGTTCGAGCATTATTATTTTCTTTGCAGCTTCAGAAGAATTATTTCCTTCGTGAGTTGACCGTGATGTGTTTAATAATTCTGTCATCCCTTCTTGCATCATAGCACGTACTGCGTCAACTTCTTTTTGAGATTTACCCAACAACCTTTCCATTTCATTTGCTCTCGCGTGGGCACGATCTAATTCTGTCATTCTAATATCTAATTCAGCCCTTAGCTTTGCTGCTTCTTTCTCTAAACAAACAAAATCTTGGCGGGATTTCCTCCATAATGATTCCACTTCACCCGCACGTTCATTGGCGGCTAAAAGGGCGTTATTGGCCTTTTCCAAAGCTCTTTGATGTTGCTCAAGTGACTGTTGAAGCTGATCAATTTTATTGCGTGAATTGTTAGAAGTTGAATGGTACTGTGAAAGTTCCGATGTGGCTTCAGATAAACGGGTGTTATTTTCTCTTAATTGGGCTTCGGCCGTCGTGGCACGAGAATGCAAAGTGGCCAATTCTGCTAATGCTCGTGCATGAGCCTCTTCCGCTTCTTCAGCCCTCGAAGTAGCTGATTTTGCACGTTCTTCGGCCGATTCTCGAGATATTTTATCATAACCTGAAACTTGCTGCGATTGAAATAATTTATTTTGTAACGATTCTTTGTCTGTGAGAGCTTGTGTCAAACGTTTCTCTAAATCTTTTGCACGCTTAATTTCAATTCTAGCGAGTTCTGATTCTGATGCATTTACTAAAGCTGTTAGTTTAGCCTTAAAATAAGCAGCCTCTTGAAGAGCTGCGGTTCTCGCACGTTCTGCATCCGTTATTTTGTGCGAAGCAGCTTGAGCTTGATTCGCAATCATTGCCTTTTCTTTCCTTAACTCTTGTCTTATTTTGAAAACCGCCGACATAATCTTAAAACGATCAGAACCGGTTTCACCAATGTCCATGATTTTTTCAGAATCAATGCCCTCGGGTACCCCACTATGACGATTATCAGGAGTGTAACCAGATGTTCTAGCAAGAGCGAGTTCAAGTTTCAACCAATTTTCCCGCTTTTTGATTTGAGATATTTGCGCGTCTCTTTGTTGTAATTCACGTAAGAAATTATCTCTTTCCGTGTTTGATACAGGGGCAGGAAAATGTTCAAGAGCATCAAATGTAGGAGATTTTAAACTATTCTGACTAATTGTAGATGATGAGCTTGGTGATATTGTACCATCGCCACCATACAGCATTGAATTAACTGGTAGTTTTGTGTCTATCGCTAATGGAGATGGTGACGAGTTATTGCTCCGAGGACTTCTTTGACTAGTTTGATTGGCTGATGATGGAATGTTGCTGGAAGAATTAGAACTTGGAGGATGTGAAGCTTGACGTGGATTTTGAAAATCTCCGGCTGCACCGGCCATTTGTACTGGTAAGTTCATCGCATTTTTATTTCCTTCACGGAATTGCTCTCTTCTTCCCTCTGAAGGAGAAGGGGTCTGTTTACGAAGACTTTCGACGCTTTGTTTTTTTTCGAGTGGTGGTGATAACGAACGATTATTATAATTGTTATATCGTTGTTCTGAAGAATCCGATCTACTTCTAGAGGATAAATTATTTCTCGCTTGTGTATTATTATTTGGATCCACCATATCTGGTGGTAACCTTGGAGAGCCATTTTGAGGTCGTTTTGGAAATACTTGATATTTTGGACTACCTCCCCCCACCTGAGGGCCCATACGTGGTGATGAATTACTCACATTCATATTGTTATCAGGCATGAACCTTGGTGATGGCACTGGAGAAGTTAAAGAACTTTGACTTCCTGACGGTGAAATATGCCTCATTCCAGGCGATGTTCCTCTTACTCTATTATTATTATTACTATTATTATTATTATTATTATTATTATTATTACTACTATTACTATTATTATTATAATTATTATTATTGTCAAATGGCATAATGTTATATGGAATATTTTCTTCATTTGATGGAAATTGTCCATTTGGTTTCATTGAACTTTGCCTTATAGGTATTACATTACGGTTATTATCATCATCTATTGTATTATTACGTTTATTTGGAGATTGGCTTTGTGATGGTGGTGGTCTATTACTTTCTATGCCTAGTTGTTGCGGTATTGATCTAATTTGTTGTGCTTGTTGTGATTTTTGTGTTGTTATTTGTGATGATTTTGTCGAATTTGATGGAGTAATTGGATACTTTATTTTAGCTATTATCCAGTAATCAATAAGTTAATAATTTTCATTTCCTACTAAATCATAAAAAAAAAAAATTAAACGTACATGTATCTAATATATTAATAATGCCATCTTCATCCGGTTTTGGAATTTGTAGACAATCCCCGCCAAAAATTAAAACTTTGTCACGGCTAGACGTCATTGCGTGATACTTCCTAGGACTTGCTGGTATTCCCATTTTCGAGAACATGTACCATCTTTGATCTATATAATAATTGTAATGGTTTAAGCGTCCATTAACAAAAAGAAAAGAAAAGAAGAGAAAAGAAAAGGGAAAAGAAAATACTAACTGGAAATTTTGAGCGCTCCTAGATCACTTAAATCTAATCCATCCTGTCCCTTCCCACCAAAAATATACATAATGTCTTCTATGATAGCAACTCTATGATTTTCTCTTGGAGATGGAATATATCCTATACATGCTAATTCATTCCACTTATTTGTTTGTGGGTCATAACACCATGTATCGCTATGATATTTCTCACCGTCCGTACCGCCAAAGCTATTGATTAAAAAAAAAACAAAATAATCTATTAATAATTTTTCAAAATAAAAAAAAAAGGTCTAGAAAACAAATATTTGAACACATACACGTAAAGTTTGTTATTGTAAGCGCACATGGTGTGACTTGTTCTGCCTACTGGTGGATCATTTAAAGGGACAATAAATTCCCACCGGGCTACACCAGAACTAACTATAATGGAAAAAGGTTCTCATTTAATTTTGAATTCGATAATAACGTACATATTCTAACAACTTACGCGTTTGCAAGTCAAATACGATCAGATCGTTCAATAGACGACCATCAAACTGTCCACCAAAGATGTACATTTTTGATCCAATCACGGTCGCCGAATGACCAAATCGGCCAATCACCTTTGGATCTTGCATAGGTGGCTTATACCATTGTTTCGTAACTAATGAATAAAAAAAAAAAATGATTTAGATCGTTTTACTTAACATACGAATATCTTTGAAAATAAATAAATAATAAATGCTATTTGCCAGTATTTAAAATGTATATATTGGTATCAGGTCGATCATCCGGATTTGATGGTACCCCGCCGAATACTGAATAAATTCGTTTAAAGAGTTATTATTATTTGAAATTATTATTATTATTATTATTATTTCCTCATCAATTCAAAGTAATTGAACATTCATCTAAATCATAGTCACCGATCATGTTCATTCCAACATTAACTTGTGTATGTAAACTCCGAGGCGGTGGAATATCTCCTGTTGTCGTTAATCCAGTGACATTGAATGTATCTGAGAATTGCCGTCAGCAATTGATGATATGTTAGCAACCAATAAGATATAATAAAACAATACATTTATAGGTCCGTCACTTACTAGTGTCTAATATAAATACATCATTAGTTGCGCGTCCTTTATAAATACCACCAAAGATACATAATTCGTCATTTACCCCACTCTGATTTGTAGAATGACCATGTCTTGGAAGAAGGTTTGATAGGGAAAGTTTTCTCTGAGACCAAGGAACTTGATTGTTTTGTTGTTTTAACTTTTTTGAAAATATTTGCATTTGTTTAGATTAAAAAAAAAACAAATAAATACTTAAAAAGAAGTGTTTTTGATTGATTTGATGTAGAGATAAAAAAAAAAAAAAGGAAAGGAAGGAAGGAAAAGATTGTGGGGAAATTAAAGAAAAATTGAAGAAGGTATTTATGTGTTCAGCAATGGTGGGAAAGACCTTAACTAGTTAGTTCAGACTTTGCCGTCTTTACCTCTTTTTTTTTTTTTGTTTTTGTTGGGATAGGGATATTGGCTTATTTGTTTTTTTATTTAATCTGCGGATTTAATGAAATTCTAACTAATGTTTCACATTTTATGCTTGCTTGCATTTTGCTTGTATCACAACGAAATCCGTAAACCAATCATTGAAAGAAATTTGAAAATCAATATTTGCAATAAAATCAATAAGATAATTTTTTTTTTTTATTTTGGAATACGATAAACTAGGCATAGAAGTGTGATGCGAAGCCTTCCAAAGTTCTCTTTCCATGATAGCAACATTCCATGTTGATGTGCTTTAAAAAAAGAAAAAAATCGGATCGTGTTTTTTTTTTCTTTCCAAACTGCCAACCGAACAGCTTCAATCATTATTCGTTCCACTATGCCTCGCCAGTTACCCTCTCATACGATATTTTATATGCCCATTCTAAAAGGGGATTTCCAATGCATTATTGTATCATAAACGTATGTCAGAATCTCAAAGGGTGCATCGTTGATCATTCAAATATGGTAGTAAATACTATGAAAAATGTGAATCATATGATTATGTTAAAATATCTAAACAAATCAGAGATGGCAAACCCGTGATCGCCACACTTTTTTTTAGATTCGGGACCGGCAAAAAGTTAATGGGTTCTAACAGTATATGGATATTTAATGTGATGATGTACCACTTTTAAATTATTTGTACTTATTGTAATGCATTTCAATAGTAAATTTAAGTTAATCATTAATAGAATACACCATTATAAAAAAACAAAACATTTAAACGATGATTCTTCGTCTGAAGATTTTATTGTTTGTAAACGGGGTCCAGTGATTTGCATGAAACCCCCTCCATCTCGTGCGATTTTGTACAAATGATTTGTATAGACTTCGATTTATGGAAACTTCACAAACAAACAAACAATTGATATTGAAAAAAAAAGGGGTTTTATTATATTATTGAAATGAAATTTTTATTTGACTATTGAAATTTGGATAATTCATTCAAATTTTTATGTATAGAAATAAATCTATTGAAATACTTTATGTGATTGGTTTCATCAATATTTTTGACTTCAATCGTCTTTACATTCGGCTTTCACGCCGTTTATTGTTTGGCAATGTCTGCCTTTTCCGCATGGTTTGGGGTGAGCAAAGCCTGATCCGCATGATATAAACCTCCATCGGAAGAACATGCCGTTAAACTATCGTAACCGCAGATAACTTCTTCTTGTGAAGTTGCGTCATCTCGAGGTAAAACCATGGAATTTATTATTATCGGAAAGTGATCAGCAAAATGAGAATTACCGCAGTGGTTTCATTTTGGATTTACTTTGTTATATGAGGGTTTATTTTTTTAAAGAAAGTGAGTGAATATATTAAAAAAAAAAAAAGAAAGAAAGAAAAATATGGTTTAACTTTGCGAGAAATGAGAAATCGTGTTGTATTTATAATCGATGCCTTATGTCGAGTAATTTTCTCTAGCGGTTAGAATCTGTTGTCAAAAAAAAAAAAAAAATTGATTTCCAAAAATGTAAAATATACGCGTCTATGAGAAATTAAATGCATGTAATGAAATGCGCCTACTGTTCCATAAATAGAAATTTCACTACTATTTGTTTTAGACCTCTAAAACATGGTTGGCGTATGATCATCTACCTAGATGTAACTCCTTGCATGTATCCTTTGGATAATGGTTGGATTTGATGGTATGAAAATTGACAATACATATTTTACTTTCTATTTAGGAAAAAAGAATCTCTCGGATAATAATTCGGGCGAAACTATATATCAAAGTCCGAAATCCTTAATTTGGAAATATTTGTAGATCAGGTTTGGTGAAACCGCCTTCGATTATGATGGACAATTAATTAATTCCGTAATATTACACTCGATCACCAGATTGATTAGCGTTAATCCCTTTGATTTAATTCCTTTTGGTTTAAATCAACTTGAGAAATTTCAAAGTGCTATTTTTACTTATAATTTGGTTGTTTGATTTGAATATTTTGTGAGATATTAGTATTTCAGAGAAAGTTGTTACGAACGTTATGATTGGTTTTGGTTGAAGGGACACGGATGTTGCTTGATCAACCAATTTACTCAAAACAAAGAAATTGTTGAATTAATCGATGCCTTAATTGCTGAAACAAAAAAAAAAATAGCAATAATTTGCGGAATCATATTTATAGTTAAATTAATAAATTCTAATAATTAGGATACACCTTCATTGTGAATCAGCAGCATTTTACCGAAAATAAATTCTTTTAATATTTTGAATCTTATATAATATTTAGAGGATTATTGCGAATTGGTCAAAGCAAATTAGAAAAATATCCGTTTTATAAATAATATGAATTAGAATATGGCAAAATCACCCTGTTCCGATACAATATTCTGATCCTATCATGTTTATACGGCAACATAATGATATAAAATTTATACATATAAGAACGTTGCCAGATATATTACTTTTTGAATATGCTCGAATATTTGACAAATAATAGTATAAGTGATTTTAATTATATTGATTATATTGATTTTTCTGTCTATACGAAATTAACTAAATTAGAGAAACAAATGTTTCAATTTCGGAATAAATTATTTCAAAATGTAACAGGTTGGATTCGGGCGATAATAATTGGATATCAGAAAGAGGAATAAAGAAACGTTTAAACAAATTAAGTTGATTCAATTTGTAACTATTCTAGTCATTTATTATGGTTTTATGGATCGAATTTTCTTTTTATATCACATTGAAATAATATTTTTACTTTAAAATTATAAATTTTGTGAACTTTGTTTTAAACTTGGTTTAGACTCCAATCATTAACTGACAGTTCACATTCGATTTTACCCTCAGACTGAACTTTATCCCCCTCGTGAAAAATTTTATTGTAAGAATGCTAACAATAATCGGAAAAATCATAACAGCTCCCCGTGACGACGTAATATATACAGTATGTAGATAGTGATTTCGACCTAAACAAGTTTTATGGATTTTTTTTGCGATTACAATATGATTTTTCATCAAAGTTAAGCGCAACCTATCAGAACTCAATAACCCAAATTTTTCTCCTATTTTTTTTTTTTGAATAAATATTTTTTTTTGATTTACTTCTTTTAAACTAAAAATGATGATATTTTTTAAATACCAAGTAAATTTTGAAATTAAGATTTTAAAATCGACTCGAAAACTTATAACCATCCATTTTTCATTATTATAGCGAATAGCATGCTATTATTTGTTTATATTAATGATTTTTCAAATCCAATGCCATTCCATTTTTTTATCTATATATTTTTTTTAATATTTCATATATCTGTTTCAGGTATTATAAATTTAATAATATATAGTGTGAGTTTTTCAAAATTGAATTAAAGTATTATTATCTAATCCTTTACCAACTGTAATAAAAATTTTTCAAAATAATTGCTAAAGAATTAGTTTATATATGATATGATGAAAATTAAAAAATTTATATAATTAATAATAAATTATTATAAACTTTAGTTAATAATCCTTAATTAATTGTAATTCATAATACTTGAAGCTCTGAACAGATCCATTTAGGTTAGGTTAATCAAGCTACCTAAACTGAAAGGATCAGATCAAGATAAATAAAAATCTGACCTGATCTAACTTTTATTTGACCTGATTTAACCTAATCTATTCTGATTTAACATAATCAATTATTTTTAAAAAATGATATATTATATCTGATTTGATTTAAACTTTAATTTTTATTTTGTTATTTTTTTTTTGCTTTTTTTATCTCTTATTATTTTATTTTTATATTTTTTAAATAAATGTATAAGGATAAATTTTAATATATGTAATTTAATTAGTTAACTGATTTAATCTAAAAAAATTTTTTTCTGATTTACCAATTAAATAATATTAAATAGAGATTAGACCAATAAAATCAATCTAATTTAATGATAATAAATTATTTAAGAAAAATAATAAAAAATCATTTAAGAAAATTATAAAAAATCATTTAAAATAAATGAATAAATTTATTCAAAATGAACAAATAAAATTATTTAAAATGAATTATAATAAATCATTTAAAATAAATAATACAAAATTATTTAAATATTCTTTATCTATAATATAATTAATTAGTTGATATAAATTTTATTAAGTCAGATTATAATCTGACCTGATATGATATCAACCTAAAAATCTAATAACCTGACCTGAATTTTTAAGTCAATTAATCAGATAACAGATCAATCAAATCTAATTCAAAGTTTAGTAATACTATTTTAAAAAATTTTATATTTTTAAGTTATCATCATATTAATCTTTAAATTAATAAATAATTTTAATTACTTTAAAATACTATTTAAAAATTTTAATAAGTTTAAGAAATATATATTGAATGAAAATTAAAATTAAAAATTTTTTTATTTTTTGATTATTAACTATTTTATTAAAACTTTAAAATTTTAAATATCTTTTAAAAAAAATTTAAATATAGCTTATTATAATAATTATTATCAAAAAGTGTTTAAAAAGTAATCTAATAATTTTTTTTATTTTTTATATAAAGAAAAAAATAATATACTCTCATAAGATAAAATTAAAGTTTAAAATTTTTCTTTTAAAAATATAAATAAATTAAATTTTAATAATTAATTATAAAACTAAAAATCATTTTAAAGAATAGCAGATTTTAAATTTATATATTTTTAAATTAATATCAAAATATTTAATCATATAATAATTATATTCTTAATTATTAATAATTTTTATATAATAAAATAAATATTTGCAATATTATAATTTTTTCTTTTAATTAAAAAGTTACTTGAAATATAAAGTAATCAAATATATATTTAGTTTTAATAGTCAGCAATAAGTGAATTATTATACAACTAAAAATATGATTTAAATAAAGTTTTATTATTAGTAATAAGAGAGATTCTAATAGATTACTAATTATAATTGCAAATTGTTAGAATTTAAAATTAAGTATATTTGAAATTAAGTCATTAAAACTATATAAAAGTTTGTTAATATGTACAATATTAAAAGTGACTTTATTGAATTTTAATTTATATTTAAAAAAATTATAAATCTAAAAAAATAATATTGTATTCTTTTAGTGAAAATACAATTAATTGTAAATAAAATTCTATTCTATGTAATAGAACCATATTGAAAATATATTTTAACTGTTTATTAATCAATGGTTTATATTTGAGTTAATTTAAAATTTTTTTTTTTTAATTCTCAAGTTTAAAATACTAACTTTTTTAATTTTACTTATTTATAATTATTTAATTAATAAAATCAAAGTTTAACCTATAAAATTTCAAATTAAAAATATAAACAATACTTTCTAATAATATATTTATAAAAATGAATTAAATAATACGGGAAATAATTAGTTTAAATAAACTGTTAACTATTATAATTCTAATTCTCATTCACTTTCTTATTTTAATACCATCTAATAAACAAAAATTTAATAAAAATTAACTAATATAACAATAATTTCAATAAACTAGAAAACGGGAAACCGTTGTTGTTAAGTCCTGAACGATCTTTATCTAGACTTTTGTGCAATTACAAAGCCAATCAGCATCGACTCAATTATTGAGCGGGGCGGGAACCGTTGATAAGACCGGAACGATCTTAACTAAAAATAATTGCAAAAGCCAATCAGCATCGACTCAATTTTTGAGCGGGACACTTTGCTTCGTTCCGGAACGGTTTCGGAAAACCGTTGTTTAGTCCGGAGCATAAGTGTAACGAAAGGGCGGAAAAACAGACACCGGTTATAGTCCTTCGCTTACGCTCCGGACTAATTACAATCTTTTGATACATTAATTAAAATCTAATGCTAATAAAGGTATAAATATATTAAACTTTTTTTTATTAATTAGATTATTTAAAATATTGGGATTTATGAATTATTATGATAGTAACTTTATCATAATCAATGTATTACTCATAGTAACTGTGGTTACGTTAGAAATATCCGGCACTTCGAGCCTAATAACTATCGATACCTATGGTGGTGTAGCTAATAAATAATATTGGGAATCAAATTGGATTTACCCAATATAATAGTTATTCGGCGCGAAATGTCGAATAACTAAATTTATCTGTTGCAAATTACTCCGTATATAAGTATAATATCAGAACCACACCCTTTATCCGCTATTGTTATATTTCACTTTATTATAATTTTACTGACATCTAGCATAGCAAAAATTTTATTTTTATTTGCCATCTTT